ATTGTTATTAACTACTAATCTAGAATATTCTGTGTATATAAACATGCATGTATATAATTGTAGAGCCTGGAAGAGGAATTTATCGAAAAGAATATTCTTTGCTCGGTTATTTTGTGTTTTTTCTGAAATAGACAATGATTTCTACTGACAGACACTAACATCTTGTGTTCGGCTGACTTCAGTTTCAGAAGACTCTTGCATTTCTCAATGTTTCACCAACCGGTAAAAATTATCAGGCAATTAGATTCAACACCAGTGGCTGGAACGATGAAGACACGGTGAAATACCGTACAAACCTTGAGGACTTGGGTTCTATTTCTTTCTGGTCGGGCTCATGGGTTCATATTGCTGAAGAGTCCATCCGAAACAGCGACGAAACAGCTGTCTAGTACTCCCTGGCAGTTTTGATTGGTTCCTAAACTGATATCATTCAGTGAATAAACTTGAAACAAGTCAAATCCCTACAACCTAAAAGTCGCAAAATATTACCATACTTTATCTCACCTTACCCATTGAAATTTCCCTCTATCCTCTCCTTAATTTGAAGGGCTACAATGATTTCATGTCGAATTACTCAATTGCGTATTTCCATTTTACCTTCACTAACAACATCTTTTCTTTCCGTGTAAGATTGAACTCACACAAAAAGCTTGGAGGATCTGGACTTCGCCGATGATATATGTCTGATTTCCCACAAACTGGAAGATATGCAAGCGAAAACCAACAAGTTGGCAGAAGAAACATCCAGAGAAGATAGGACTTCAGGTGAACATAGACGAAGCAGAGGTCATGAAGATTCCTGGGAAACACCACCAACAGCAACAACAAAAACGACAAAAACAGACAACAATCAGCACAAATGGAGGGAACCTGAAAGAAACAACCTCCTTCACCTGCCTACCTGAGAAGCATCGTTTCAACTACAGGAACACGGAACTGACGAGGATATCAAACCAAGAATCGATCGGAAGGGCAAGACAAGCTTTCACTACTCTCAAGTCTGTGTGGAGGAGGTCAACAGCAATCAGCATCAAAACGAAGATAAGATCCGGATTTTCAACTCCAATGTGAAGTCAGTCAGTGCTACTTAACATACGGATGGATCAGAGACTTGCACTGCGCGTCATCAAGAGCATCTCAAACAAACTACAGACCTTCAACAATAGCTAGCTGTCTCCGCTCAATACGACTCAAGATCAGATGGCCGGCCGGCCGGCCAGAAAAGATCAGCAACAGAGAGGGAGGATCTCTGGCAATGAGCGAACCAACCAACACAGCAGGAACCAACCGATTGTGAAACAAATAGGCAGGAAGAAATGGAGGTAGATGGATTGGCTGGCCATACTCTGAGGAAACAAGCCATCAAGTGAGTGACATCACTAGACAAGCCATTGCTCGAGTGGAAGCCGGCCGAAAGGGAAGCGGCGGCGAGTTGGTCGTCAGTGCAAGGGTGAGGGTGACTTAGAGGAGGTCATGTGAAGAGGAGATGAAGGGGTGTGGGCAGACTTGGAGCCAGGTGAAGACTGTAGCAGAGAACCGAACGTAATGGAGACGCACGGCTGAAGCCGTATGTTCCTCTAGGAATTAAAGGAAACAATAATAATAACACATGATTTGATTAAGGAAAAGACGATTACTAACTGGGAGTTTAAAGCAAAATCTTGAAGTTTCTCTTTTCTATGAACTATTTTTATAAATTATGTAATATGACACCCTCAATAACTGATATATAATTCACAAGGTTATTTCAATCCACTAGGATTTCTTGAAGTAATAGCATCCACATTGTAAAAAACAAAGCTTCAATTTTGAAATTATTCATTTAATTAGAAAGTTTCCAGTTTCAAAAAGGAAGGAATGTTCATTTAACCGTTCAACACTGGACTACCAAAAATTTCCATCCCTCAAAATGCCTAAATTCTTTTGTATTTCTCATTGTTTAAATCATGTGATTATAAAAAATGATAACCACATGAACTCGCACACATATTTAATTTAATTTATAGGCGGCCTGCTTAAACCTTGGGCTACCAAAATTTTCCGTCACTTATATTGCATCTGATTACTTGGATTTATTTTGTTTTAATTATTCAATTATGTGTCCAAATCGTATTACTTACTCTCGCGATTATTTAAAATGTTTTCAACCGGACAGTTTACGAGTATATAATAACCTTAAGAAAAAGCATCATGGTGGGTGGTAAAGATCCTTAAAGTGTATTCCAACGCATCAGATAACTGTTCCTGTGATCAGATGCAATATTGTGACAAATGCTGAGAATTCCATTCTGTATTGTAAGTACTGTTTTTGGAATAAAGAAGATTATTATTATTCAATAAGACGCTGTGCAATTCTTGAAAGAAATGAGGAAAAAATATATACGGAATTGATTCTCTATTCATATGCAACAAGGCTACTAGGTTACATGACACACACACACTTAAGGTTATTACTATGCATATAAATCCTGTAGGAAGGGGAAATATTTCGCAACTAAATACTCTGCAAATTTCCCAGCTATGTGTTTACCTATTGTCTGAAAAAAAGCTTTAATAATAATGTGTTATTTTTATTGTTATTATCATTATCGAGATTTCTGTATTGCAACCGACTATTAATGTTATCTATTAATTTGTAGATAATTATTTGCTTACTTATGAGTAGTTCGTAGCATTTCACTGTTTTTTTACTCATGTAGTGTGGTTTGATTGATTTCAAGTTACTGTACGAACTCATATTAGTTAGGCGACCAGTGAAAGCGAAAGAATACTGGAAAGTCATATCGTCTTACTCTTTCACTCTTCATTATCATCATCATACGCCAATTACACTACTACCATGAAATGAATCCTGGACCCTCAGGTTATGAGGTCAAGTAGTTAACTATTCAGCTACTGTGACGGAATCGAAAGGCCCATGAATCGTAAATTCGCGGTAATTTACCAATGCTTACTAACGGCTTTAGCTGAAAGTATATACATAGTGACTTTAAAGAAGTTGGAATTTACGCAACATCTGATTCTGTCATAGTGATTGAATAATCAAAAGTCTTAACACTGGATTCCAAATGATCCTAAGTTCGCTACCTGATGACTTGACTGATGTTTAGGAGTGCTTCCTGCTGAAATAAGGCGGGAGTAGAATAAAACCACCGTCCACCATTCCATGGTTTTCAATGGTTCTCTAAGTGATTTTACTTTATGAACTTGCCTGGAAGTTCATTTTGCTTAATAAAGTAATAATAATAAATTATGGTAACATGAACAAATGCATTAAAAGGCATTAACTGGGAATTGGTCAAGATATGTAGATGATACTTTTGCAGTGCTAAAACGAGATCTACACATTTCATTCCTGGAGAAAATAAACTGTGTATCTCCCAGAATCCAGTTTACTTCGGGAGCAGAATCAGACGTCGATGAACTACCATTTCTAGACTGGCTAGTTAAGAGAAAGGAAAACGGACATTTTAGGATATCCATATTCAGGAAGAAAACCCAATCCTATAAATATTTAGACTTCAAATCATTACACCCCATCAGCGCAAACATTTCAGTTGTTTCAAGTCTTCTTAGACGAGCACATTCTCTGATAACGTATGAGAAAGAAAAAGAAGAAGAAATATCAAACATTACTGAAACTCTCAAGCAAAACAACTACCCATGGAACTTCATCAACAAAATCAATACAGACATTCAGTATGACCGAAAACGCATTCCGAAAACATGGACCTCAACAGTCGTCATTTCATATAGAGCACAGACGTCAGACGATATCAGAAGAGTACTCAGCTCGACATTACAGTTTTCTTCAAAACATCAGACACACTATGAAACAACCCTGTCCATATAAAAGACCACATCCCTAAAGATTCTCTATCTAATTGTGTCTATAAAATAAAATGCTCGCTTGGAATGTGATGCGATATACATCGGAAAAACATTTCGAGAAATCAAAATCAGAAGAAATAAACGCCGTAGACCCAACTCTGTTCGACCACCAAGAAATCCAGTTGAACTAGAAAAGCTTGAAAAATTATCAGCCATAGGTCACCTACACGCTATAGAATCAGGCCACAAAATCGACTTTGACAATATTGAAATAATCCCGAAGAATTTCAGAAATCAGAAAGAACGTCTTATATCAGAAGCACTTCATATCAAGTGGAATCCAAATGGTCTGAATAGGAATGATGGACTAAAACAGAATCTGACGTGGTTACAACACCTCCCTCCCCCATGAAGTGACAAAATCAAAACGAATGTGATATGCAAGTTCACTATGTAAACACATTACTCTTATAATTTTACACACTGATCAAATCTAACAATCTACACTTGATTTTGTTATCTTTACCAACTGACCAACTTGACAACGAAAAATGACCCCCAGACAGACAAACGATGATCAAGTTAGTAAACTTTGTTTTGATACCATAATAGATGTACTATTACCTATGTTATTTGGTTTAGTGATCTTCATTCCCTTTAACTTGATCTAGGTATATTTTCCCACCCCCTAACTTTTTGTTATATATATGCTGAGGAGATTTTGTAAATTCTGGTTTAATAATACTTTGATAAAGCTATTAGCGTGCGTCGGTGGCATAGTGGTTAGGACGCTCGCCGACCATGCACATGGTCCGGGGCTCGATCACCGGCCACAGACGCACTCCTTTACCTCGCTAAGCCAGAAATAATGCTGGTGAAGAGGAAAGGTTGGGCATGAGGCTAGCAACCCCATCCTGTAAAATAAGTACTGCTACAGAAACTTCAAGCCTCTAGCTTGAAGCCCTATGTTCCACTGGGGAACGTGAAGGAAATAAAAAAAATAAAATAAAAAGCTATTAGCATTAAATAGCGAAACGTCAGTAAAGACAACAATCTCGTTTTGGTTTTCATTCATTGGGAAATACAAGAAAACCTTTATTATAATGGGAACTGATTCATCTCAGTAGGAATGACGAATTCATAAACAGAATAATTACAATAGAACTTACTTCTTCCAGTGATGCTTTCAATAATTTATTCTGTTCAGACAATTTTTTGATCTGTTCTAGTAGGTCGTCTGTCAATGAACTTAACTAAAAAGGGATAAAATAATAATAATGAACAATAAAAAAAACAGTCCGTGATCAACTCGTAAAAACAAATCTAGTCCTTACAAATCAACTATTGAAAATAAAATAAAAAAACAATAAATAGCAAAAATCAAGAGTTAATCTGATTTTGAACAAAGCAAGAACTACAGTTTAGCAGAATAAAATGGTACCATCATTGTTTACTTCGTTGCCTTCTCGTCAGCTGCTTACAGGGCAGACATTATTCAATGTATCTACAAAAACAATTTTAACATACTTGCACCGAGACTTCATTTTAAACAAAAATCAGTCGACCAATATACGCATACACTAATAATATATACATATATATATATATGCAATATTAAACACTATTCCGAACAACAATAATAATCATACACAATGAAAACTTTTCAGCATCTCGCATTCATATAAAAAATATCCAGTTACCAGGTTGGCAAAGAAAGACTGATAACTGCTTCTTTCTGAACGCATAAGTCAGGTTTCAGGCGCTTGATGGAAATGGCTTCAGCAAACTTTAGGAGAATTGAGCTCTTTTGCTTATTCATAATTTTGAACTACATACCGGCGTCCACCTCATGACCCGTATCGAGGAGATGCTTGGCGACGGCACTGCCTCAGGCATTTGTTCCCTTTAGACGTAAGCTTTTTGGTACATGTTCAGAAAATCGTAGATATGCCCTTCTTCTTTCTGTTCTTCCAATGTAACTGCTCCCACAGATACTTGTAAATTTGTATATACAGTTGGAGTTAATTAACATGAGAAGGATATCTATCGATCTTTGATTGCATCAAAGAGGAAGTTGTTTGATAGACGGGAACGAGCTTAGCTGCAAGATAGGCTATGGCTAGTGATGTGCTCAGCCTTCTGTTGATCATTGCTGAAATGTTTTCGCCTTTATTTATCGTGGCCTGCAATAAGGTCAGTGAATCCTCTATGAACACCGACAACTAACCAACTGAACGCCTATCCCATTTTGTTCTGTCTTATTTTTCCCTTCGTTTCATTGACAAGTGTTTACGTAAACCAAGAGTGATAAACATAATAATAATAAAGGTCATGAATTTATAGAAGCTTTGAAATAATGGTTTTTCAGACTTGTTATGATATTTCCATTTTCTCCAAAACTCTTCTCTGCGTGATTATCGTTCCCTGATAGTACTTCAATGTTTACACCACCACCACCACACCATGGTGATTATTATTTTACCATAATTGCAGTTGTAATCTGTCAGCCTTGAACTTATTATGCCCAGTGTATTACAGTCATTGATTTATTTCTCTGTAGTATTCCTATTGTCTTTCATGCCACTGACCACAAATAACCCATTGAAATAGTATATATTTGAAATAATAGAGAAGATTTGTAGCTCAGGTGGATGATTTGCAATTAATAGTGTTCTCTGAGCTGGTTGGTTTAGTTGCGGAGCTTTCGTCGTCACCCTGCTGGACAACATCCCTCTTCAGCGCCATATTTAGCATAAAGTGAAATGATTTAAATTTCTTCATGAGTGATATTGTGGTGAGAGCTATCTACTAGCCAAATTGGTAGACAGTAATTTTCGTCAATGTTTACGTTCTCAAGATTTGTCGTGAGAAAATATGAACAAAGACTGATTCAAAATCGACCACAGCAGACTTTGCGTAGGCGGAAACAGTTAACATATAGAGGATTTGACATTCAAGAAACAGTCACAAATAGATGAAAGATTAACTTTACGTGAGAAACAACCAATCAGAAGACTGTGTTGTTTGCTTAATTAAACTATAATAATGTACATGAAAATATATAAATATGCTTTGATTTCCTTAATAAACGATCTGTTGCCTGGCCCTTGTCTTCTGTTGTTACATTTGTTTCGCTGCCTGTCGCGAAATAAAAGTCCCATGACCTGCAGCTTTTGAAGAAGGAGACATATGGATCTTCTTGAGGGACTTCGAAGCTATTGCACAATTGAATGGCGTGCAAGAGCCATCAGCGAAGACGCTTTTACTTGGAAAGCTACTGAGAGGCGGGGCGAAGGCAGCATAAGATAGTGTGAGGCGAACAGAGGGATAAGCAACTTGGAAGTCAGTGGTTGAACGTTTGAAGCAGGAGTTTGACAGCCCGATGGACAGAGAGCGGGCAATGCAGCAGTTTCGCACCATGAAGATGGGAGTTGACGCTGATCCTCTCGTATTGGCGCTGACCTTGACAAGCCCACTTCGTCGTACTCTACCAACACTGGACGAAGATTCTGAGGCACAAATGTTGGCATCCCAGTTTATGGAGAGTGTTCCAGAACATATATCCCAACAGTTACATCTGATTAACGCCATACACCGGCATAATATCGGGGAGCTTGCGAAGGTGAACAGACAACTGTTAAGGAAGACGGTTGCAGCGGTAGAGCCACCAAAATATGAGCAGTGTGAGAAACAAATCTTGAGAACGTAAACATTGACGTAAATAACTGTCTACCAATTTGGCTAGTAGACAGCTCTCACCACAATACAATTGCGTCTCCCGGTAACCATCTTCTATTGACTTGGATTTTAAACTTTCTGGTCACCTGATTTTTTTACTTTTTATTAGTTGGTATATTTCGTCTATATGTTAACGTGTTTATTAATTGCATTTTCGTGTGAGTACCATCCAGGCTTCTAGGAATTCTCTGATTGCACTTTTCGTGTTTCTTCTGTTTAGGATTTCGACATTATCCCAATCAAATTGATGCCTATAATTGTCTATATGCATTGATACTAAAGAATACATATCGTGTCTTTTCACGACTGATTTGTGTTCTTGGATTCTGATTCGAAGGGGACGCCCACTTTGGCCAATGTAATGCTTGTTACAGTTCATACAATTTACTTTGTAAATGGTATTAATTTTATCTCCTTTTTCTGTTGGATCTTTCGGTTTGCATAATATCGAATTAAGCGAATATAGCCGAAGCCGTTATGCAAAGATTAGAATTAATAGCTATACCTATATATAATTAAACCGAAAATCTGGATACGTTACGTTGATGATACATTTGTAATAATTAAGAGAAATGATTTAGAATATACCCATAAATTAATAAACAACATATTTAAAGACATCAAGTTCACAAGAGAAGAATTAGATAACAAAATCCCATTTTTAGATGTCTTGATCAGGAGAACCAACACAGGAGATTTAGGAAAACACAAGTATATAGAAAATCAACGCATACATACAGATCAAATACTCAACTATACTAGCAATAATCCAATGACTCACAAACGAAACTGTGTGCAGACATTGTTTAAAAGAATTCAAACACATCGTAGCACTCCAGAGTTGGAAAGAATGGAAGAAAAGTACTTACAAACGGTCTTCAAAAAGAATGCTTATCCACAAAATTTCATCAAAAAGTGTTTAAAGTCGAATCAAAACACCAACAAAGAACCATCATCAAAAACCACAAGAAAATTCATTCTACCATAAATGAAAAATATCTCTGAAATAACAGCTAGAATACTGAAACCGTTTGATATAGATATAGCACACAAGCCAGTCAAATCGCTTAATTCGATATTATGCAAACCGAAAGATCCAACAGAAAAAGGAGATAAAATTAATACCATTTACAAAGTAAATTGTATGAACTGTAACAAGCATTACATTGGCCAAAGTGGGCGTCCCCTTCGAATCAGAATCCAAGAACACAAATCAGTCGTGAAAAGACACGATATATATTCTCTAGTATCAATGCATATAGACAATTATGGTCATCAATTTGATTGGGATAATGTCGAGATCTTAGTCAGACGAAACACCAAAAGTGCAGTCAGGGAATTCCTAGAAGCCTGGATGGTACTCACACGAAAATGCAATTAATAAACACGTTAACATATAGACGAAATATACCAACTAATAAAAAGTAAAAAATCAGGTGACCAGAAAGTTTAAAATCCAAGTCAATAGAAAGTGGTCAATACATATGTTGTAAAGATGGTTACCGTGAGACGTGCGCAATTATATCACTGATGAAGAAATTTAAATCATTTCACTTAATGCTAAATATGGCGCTGAAGGGGGATGTTGTCCAGAAGGACGACGAAAGCTCCGCAACTAAACCAACCAGCTCAGAGAACACTATTGCAAACCATCTCCCTGAGCTACAAATCTCTTTTCGCAACCTCATTTTATCTCATATCATTATCGATCACACATTTGATATTCATTTTAACCATACTCAAAACAAACTGAGTTTTTTATTATCCCACCTTGCACTGCACAATACACTTTTTGATATCACCTTAATTCACCTTTATTACTTATTGTAACCAATAACAACAAGTACCAGTTATCATCTATGGAAAAATTCTCCCTACCATGAGAATGAGAAAATAGTAAAATATAGCGTCAAATATGTATTTGAATTCGTAGACAAAATCAAAGATAATAATATCAAGGACAAAATCATGGTATCTCTGGACATAACATCGTTATTCGCAAATGTACCTTTAATAGAAACAGTTAATTATATATGTGAACAAGTGGACAAGCGGTCGATAAACATTGGAATCCATATTGAAATCCTAAAAGAAGTGATATTAAGATATCCCATGAATGTAAACTTCAAATTTGACGGCACGCTTTACAGGCAATTGGACGGGGTGGCAATGTGCTCCCCATTAGGTCCCATTCTGGCCGATTTTTTTCTAAGTAAGCTAGAAAATGAACCTCTGAACAACCTTATCAGTAAGCTCTCATTTTATTGCCGATATATGGATGATACCTTTATTCTTTGTGATAATGGTTCTGATAGGAGTACAATAATTACTGAATTCAATGAAGTACATTCGGCTATGAAATTCACATGCGAAGAGGAGTCCCAAGACAGAATTGTCTTCCTGGATGCCCTAATTATAAGAAAACCAGATGGTATCATTAAAAGAAATTTGCATAGAAAAAGCACTTGGACAGGACAATATACACACTTTCACAGCTTCGTTCCTATCAATTACA